TACAGGGGAAAAGGATGAAACATTGCTCGTGTATGCAACAGTACAAAAGGGATCAAAATTATTATAACGTCAAACTATAACTTCCCATTATCAGATATAAGATCTGTATAAGTACGCGTCTAAGCTTATGACTCCTCACCAACGGATGACTTGGGACAGGCACATTCAGCATGTGACGGGGTTAAACAAGTTTGAAGGCACCAACCTTCCCCAAACCTGGGACATTGATGTAACGGCACAACATAAGAAAAAACTGTACAAAACAATAAACGAAAAACATAAGAAACAGCATGTAGAGATTTCTAATAAAATGACATCACTCGATATAACAAACATATCTGAAAGTATCTCGGCCTATTGCACTGAAGCATGACGGAAGGGAGCATAGATTGCATGATATTTTAGCTCGTTGAATATACATAATTTGTTGGAATAGATGTTATTCAAAAATCAATCCAATCTGCTATTTCTAATCTTTACATATTTTGTTATTAAATTCTGGATGATTTGATTGACAATAACCTTTTAAGGGAATAATTAATTCAGATACCGGTAATCAAACGCACCGATCATTTAACTTTACCCATATATTTAGTTCTGAAAGGATGAATTCGTAAAACTGCTAAAATCAAAATTAAGTTTGAAAGAATAAAAAAATAAAATATGAAGCAAGATGATATTCTCATTTTTGATTTATAAGTTATAAGGTTGAAACAAGGGTTTCAAACAAGCCGGAATGTTAAAGGTGTTCACGACTAACTTCTTTTTTAGCATAGTTCTATCATTTATTTCAAGATACTTTTGTCAGAGGGAGAAATTCAGATCACTGTTGTATGTGTATCTGATAGAACTTTATCATCTTTCTATAGAATTTCATAAGATGAAGTATATTAGGATGCATCTTCAAAAACACAAATGATCACACTTTACTAAATCAGTTATTATTTTTCTTCTTGTTTTTAATTATAGAGATGCATACGTAATTTAACGTCATAGCTCACAAAATGTTTTTTATGAAATGTTTGGCGTTCAGCTTATACAAATACGTCTGAAAAACTGACATGTATGGAATATTTGATTGCAATTTTGTTAAGTACAATACTTTTATTTTCGTGACCAACTTATGATAACAAATTGATGTTATATTTTCTAGTTTGTGCGTCCGTTCATTCATCCGTCCCGGTCCAAATTTAATATTTTTAAAATTATAAACCAAATCATGGTTGTTCCCGGATAAAGTGGTTTACTTAACATAGAGATGTGATAATGTGAGGGAGCACTGTATCGTATGACCACATATTATTGTTTCAAATGGTTTGAATATTCATGTACATATATATGTGTATTTACAATATTTATAACCGCTTCGGTGGTCTTGTGATATCGTACTCGCCTCGACTGGTTCAAATCAAAGATTGGAAGCCCCTCTGCTTAGCACGCGATATGTAGGAGTAAGAGCAAAAAGTAGTCGATCCGGAGTCGGAATAATGTGTCCCAGTTGGATGACATAACTTCGTGTGTACTGTTACCTTGTGAACTAACACTTTAACAAAATAGATCAGCGTGTCGGTCTAGTACAAAGTAGGGTTCGTATTCATCTCGTCCTGAATGTGCATATTTAACTACATATACAATGAACAATTATGATTCAACATCCTTATATTTTAGCGCTGCGCAAACTCGTGATCTTCTACAATGCATATGGAATAAAAGCATTGAAAAGGACAATATAAGCGTGCCGATTTGAATGGATTGCGCATCGGAAACTTCTTATCATATTGTTTTTTTATATTTCTGACTTATGACACATACACTTCAATGTATGTAGTAAAACAAATTCGGAGACTCTAAAAAGTGTTTATCAATAAAGTACTATAAGTGAATGTACTTCAAGGAATAACAAATATTTTGCCAGGGAATGACTTTTGTATTTGGACTCAGCTAGCGTTTTCAACCCACCATTTTTTTTCTTAAAATGTCATGTACTAAGTCAGGAAAATGGCCATTGTTATATTATAGTTCGTTTCTGTGTGTGTTACATTTTAATGTTGTGTTTTTGTTGTGTCGTTATTCTCCTCTTATATTTGATGCGTTTCCCTCAGTTTTAGTTTGTAACCCGGATTTGTTTTTATCTCTATCGATTTATGAGTTTCGAACAGCGGTATACTACTGTTGCCTTTAATATTATTATCGATAAACAAGACAACGCATATCAGTCCTTAATCGGGCACATCTTCTGAAATGCAACATATATTAGTAATTTTTTATCTTAAATTTTTATAATAAATTTTAAAACACTTTGACATAGAAATTAAAAGGAAGCGATAGCTTTTGTCTCAATTTTCAACTTTTAAAAGAGACAAATTCTGACAAACACTTATTTCGATATTTCTGAACTTGGCAGTTTAATATCCTTCTAAAATATCTTTTCCCCACAAAAATATAAAAAATAGATAAAGAAAGAAAAAAGAACATTGGATAACGAAAAAATAAGCATTTAAAATATAGGATAATGCAGCGTTCATTTGCAAAGTAAAGTGAAAAATAACTGTTATTACCAAGGCCGTGAAATGTAATTCAAATCGAACTTACAGTAGGTAAGATGTACGTGTTTTACGTGATCTTATATCAGTGAAAATTAAGGCGGGAATCTGAAGAACCACGTGATGAATGAAAAATACCTGATTTCTGTCATTTTTCATCACGTAAAAATTATTTTATATGGATGAAAATTCCTGTGTATGGTTTTAATAGTCTTGGAATATTTAGTTTAAACTTAAGCGACGTATTTAACAAAATTCGATTGTTGACCATTAGCCACGTAAGACGAGTTACGTACGCATGTCATTTTATTGGAAATCTCTAGTAAACGATAACAACTACATTACAGGCTCCTGACTAAGGACAGGCACCTATAGAATGTGGAGGGGATAAACATGTATGAAGGCACCAACACTCCCCCTAACCTTGGACAGTGGTCTAACAGTACAGCATAAGAACAAACTATAAAAATCAGTTGAAAAGGGCTAAACTCATCAGATCGATATAAAGCAGAAAAAACATCAAACAAAAATATAGACCGGACTTGGCAGGGTATTCATACATCCCTAAAAAAACAAAAAAGACACAAAGTACAGATCTGAGAGTGCTCGAAGTTACTGACAGCTAGTTCAAAGACAATAACAACTAAAATTATGCATCTAAGATTAAATTACATCAATCAGTACACATCCAACATCCAAAGTTTATGCCCTCATTTGAAAACTGCCAGAAAAGAGACGTCAGTTAATGATCTCAGGAATTGAAATTCAATTTGAGAAAGCGAAAACGACTTCGATAAGAGGGTTTCAGAATTGGTCGTCGATTTTGAATGGTATTTCATTATAACGTCAGATTGGACTCCGATTTGAGGAACATACGTCGATTTAAAACTTGACGTTGTTCTGAGTCCAAGACATATATGCCAAAGTAATGTTTTGAATCAGATTTTGAGGTTAACGTGATAGTGTGGAATGGGCATGGTTTCTTATGGACTCATATTCTTGTTCAAAGTATGAAATCAAATGAGCGATTTTTTCTTTGATTCGTTCCTGGATGCTCTTTCCTGGATGAAAATAAACTCATCATAGATAGCAGGATTTTGTACGCCTTTTAGAATAGAATATCTTAGTTTATTCAATCAACGTTCAGAAACACGTGTATCTGTATTTTGAAAGCACGGAGTTGAATTTTTATCTTACATTTACAAAAATAAAAAAAGAACATTTACAAGTCAATGCGCTTTTAGGAAAATAGTTTGTAGCCATAATGTTACTACAGTCAGACTAGCAATTTCCATAACCCAGAGGTTATAAAATTGTTTTTAAATGGGGCCTTATTATCACCCATTTCGGACGGTATATGATAAAAACGCCGTTAAGTTATTTTTAAGACCCATTCTTTACTGTGAAGACGAAAGAATTTCGAAGCTTCAATACTTTGTTCAATGGATCCATGAAACTCGTAGATTATCATATCAAACAAAATAATTTTAGATAAGATAGCTCAATAAATCAGATGACAAAACTTTAACCCCGCCACGTTCTATGTTTCTGTTCCAAGTCAGCGGTTGTCGTTTGTTGCTATATGTCATATTGTTTTTCGTTTATTGTTTTGTACAAATCAGTCCGTTAATTTTCACTGTTGAATTGTTTTACATCTGCCATTTTTGAGGCCTTTTATAGCTTACTATGCGGTAGAGGTTTTGCTCATTGTTGAAGGCGGTACGGTGACCTATAATGGTTAACTTCTTTTGGTCTCTTATGGATAGCTCTCTCATTTGAAATCATACCACATTTCCTTTTTTTCTATTAAACCAACAAAAGACGTGGTTAGTCTAGCAACCGGCTTTACTAAATTATTTATTTGACGAAAGTACTACACTGTTTTCCAAAATGAGATATCTAGATTTTGTATTTTCCATTATTAACAGAAAGCGTATGATTGTAAATGAACACAATTATCAACCTAACAAACCAACTTTAAAAGGATACAACGAAGCATTGCAAGGTACAAAATTCCTATAAATAAAAAAATCGGTATACCATTATTATGCGTTATTTGTACATTTGAATTATATTCCAAGCAAACTTACAACATTGTTATAAAAAAAAAAAGGCAATTGCGACTTTTCATGCGATTTTCGTACTTCCACTTTTAATCCAATTCTCATTTGTCGATTTTTACGAAATAAAGTATATCATAATGAAGCTTGTATGCTTTTTTCTACAAAAGACTTCAAGAGAAATGACATAACTTTAACATAAATGACAAGGTAACAATCAAAACTAGTGGTTGAAGATGGACGGACAACACTATAAAACAATTTTGGCATTATTTTCATAATATTTGAAATCCATCTCTTTTGTTGAAATTTTATTTATTGATGTTTATATAACAGACTATATTACAAGAATACAAAATAAATATACAAAATAAATTTTAATTTTGATTTATTTCAGGTTACTTATTAATAATACTGATGTTATGGATACTCTGCTTTATGATTGCCTACATTATAATTTTGCCTCTAGCTGGAAAGGTCCCATTTTCATATTTTCATCCAGTTCTTATTACACTGTGAGTACACATTTATATGGAGAATTTTTAGTATTTTTACAAGTTTGTCAATCATATCATGTGGTTATGATGAGGGGTAATGGTCGTCCGTTTTACTGTTCGGCTGGATGTATAAATTCATAGCCATGTTCAGTTAGGATGGGAACGTTTACTCGAAAATACCTTCCTACTTTAAAGATCAGTTTGTGCCTACCATCTCTTATACCTATACCAGACCAATTGCAACTAAACTATTTTCAATTACAAACACGTGTTGCATGATATCAATGTCTTCTCATTGCACCAGTGCTAGTTCCCCATTCATAAATAATACGTCATAAGTCTCTGCGAAATGTATTATTCGAAGGCCCGAAATATCGTAAGACTAACTCAATCAATTGGCAGTATAACTTCGTAATACTGATGGATTCAGTCGAGGATTATGCCTGGAAATGTAATAAAGGCGAAAAAGAAGACGTAGATACTCTATTTGAATGGGTTAAGGTTGTGAGGTCGTTCATACAAATTAGTTCAAAAAACTGAATGGGTGTATGGATACGCATGGTTACATCAATCTTTACAAACCTGTCCACATCTATGACAAATATGTTGTTGTCCCAGCAGATAAAGCCCCAAACAACATTGTTTTGTGCGTAAATTATATTACATAAACTGCTTGATAATGGAATTAGATATTGACAATAGAATTGGAAACTCAACATATACTCCCATGGTACTTACCGAGGAGAAAAACCTGAATAATTATAGGTCTGTCCTATGCTCTTTTGGAATTTCAACCAAATATGAAGAACTGGATCTTCCTTCACTGTATTGGATACATAAATTACATAAGTGTCCTCACAAAAAACGTTATAGTGATTTGTCTTCAAAGTGCCTCACGAAACCACTTTCGTACTTTGTAAAAGTTCATTTTGATTCAAACAAACAATTCTCTTAAACTCGCATTATCAAGATGCTTGATTTCTAAATTGACAACATATCTGTTACGTTTCGAGGACGTGTTTTTTACCAAACAATCGGCCTCCCCATGAGTACTAACTGTGCTCGTCTTCTTGTTGACTAGTTCCTTTATTCCTGGGATGATTTCATCTTCCGAATTGTGAACTTTTTATTTTTACCTAGCAGCATTCCGACAGCGCCCGGAATTTTGAGTTTACATCTCTAAGTTGATACGATATTTCAGAGCTTGCATTTCCTGTCATGATTTCCATGAAAGAGGGTTGCTGCTTACAAAGAAGCTATAAAACAAGAGTTCCAAATTGGGAAGTTAAAATTATCTCTTCGGAAAATATACGGATATCATCACGAGTTGGTTGACCATTAGAATATTTGTTTCACAAATGACGACGGATATGTTCCAATTGTCTAAATAGACTCATCACTGGGTTTTTATTTACATGACCAACCCGACACGTGCCACATGTAGAGCAGGATCTACTTACCCTTCTGTAGCACCGGGGTACGTATTCCTGAGTCTTTAAATTTCTATGAGGTGATTTGTATACTGTATTTTTTTTATCTTTTCTGATGGTTGTAGTGAGAGAAATTATTTAAAAACTAACTTAGCCAATTATAGCAAAAGACGTTCGTCATACTCATTATAAAGCGATATACCATAATCAAGTGTTATACAGGTAGGACAATTTTGCCTACTTTACACTAATGGTCAGTTAATATAAACGATACCTATGTTGGTCGATCAGCGGATAAATCAATTTTGAAAATAGACATTGAAAAAAAAATTTAACGATTCGTTGATAATCATTCTTAAAGCATTGACGTTCTTAAACTATTTAAATTATAAAAAAACGCACCAAAATCAGACATAAGGAGTTAAAGTCGAAACTTAAGATAACAATCGTGTTGATCCCTCGTGCTCACAGCGTAATGGTGCTGCAAAACTAAAAGAGCCAAAGGCGAAACGAAGTTAGTTATATGGAACTCTTGATACATTCAAATCATACCTTTATAAAACCAACAATTAATAAGAATAAATTTTGATGTAAAATATTGACTAAACCATTTGAATATTTCTTTTAAAACGAGATGGTGCTTCGATATTAAGAATATACAATTTACAATAAATTAAAGCAAAGTAACATTATATATTTAGAGGTTATAACAAAAGTGCACACGCTGAAATGTCTAATATACTTTACTGACCATTGATTGTATGTTGAACGTCTTAAAGATAAAGGTGTTACTACAAATATCACATAAACTTAACATAATAATGTGGTCAAGGTCAGATAAAAACTGTCAAACAGACATATGCACCTTACAACTATTCCATACACCTAACATAGTTGACCTATTGCTTATGCTAATTGAAAAACTGACCAAAACACAAAAACTGATCATTGACCAATAAACCATGACAATTATGTCAAGGTCAGATGATACCTGCCAGACAGACATGTACACCTTACAATTATTCCATACACCAAATACAGTTGACCTATTGTTATTAGTATTTGAAAAACAGACCAAAACACAAAAACTTAACAACGACCTATGAACCGTGAGAATGAGGTCAATGTCATGTGATACCGGCTAGACAGACATGTACAAGTTACAATCATTCCATACACGAAATATATTGATTTATTGCTTATAATATTTGAAAAACAGATCGAAACACACAAACTTAACATTAACCAATGAACCATGAAAATGGGGTCAAGGTCAGATGAAACCTGCCAGACTGATATGTACTCCTCACAATCATTCCATACACCACATATAGTTAACCTACTGCTTAAAGTATATGAGAAACGGACATAATCACGTAACTTTCACCTTGATCACTGATCCATAAAATCAGGTCGAGATCAGGTGAACCCTGTCTGACGAATAATAGACGTTACTAGGAACCCATACACCAAATATAGTTATCCTATTACTCGTAATAAGTGAGAAGTTCAACATGACAAAAAACTGTAATTTTTTTCAAGCAGTCGTTGAACCATAAAAAATTAGGTCAAGGACAATTTACATATCACATACGGAAACTTCGTAACATCAGGCATCTGCATTAACGGTATGAAGCATCCAGGTCTTCTACCTTCTGAAAAAGAAAGCTTTATACATATAGTTTACATCGCTGCCGCCGGATAGTAATACCTTTGTCTCGCAAACTGAGACTTTCGTCGGAGGCGAGACAAAAATTATACAAAGGAATGAAGAAGCGGATCTTAGGTACAACCATTAATCTTGAAAGGAGTAAAATTAATAAACGAACCAATCAGAACTAGATCAAATGATACTGGAGAAGAAGCGACCAGACAACTCTTTACTTTTGTTAAGCCTATTATCTTTGTACTATTGTGTATTGTTGTGAAAACAATGAATTATATGGTCTAAAAAGATATCGATCAAGGATCGGATAATTTTGGCTATTTTTTATCATCATTCGCGTTGTAATGATAAGATGAATGAACAAACACAGCATTCCTATGTCTACGTGTCTTTTGTCATTTTCCAGACCGTTGATGATGATCAATTTCGGCTTTGAGAAACTACAAGTCTTTTTATCAAGAACATTCTTCCTGCAGGATTATGCTGTTATTATGCCTAAAGGGATAAAAACTCAGAAAGCTCTTGCTTTGGACAATATGTAAGTATTGACATTATCTAACAAAACAATTAAGTCGCACAACTTTCACTTTCTATGCAAATGTATTTTTGAAATCTCGATGAATAAATAATGTTTCAAATATTGTCAACAATTTTTAACAGGTTTTAAACCCGTTCAGTTTAGTATTGTGTTTTTTTATATTGCAAAATTTGTTTTTTTCTATGAAGTCCTAGCTAATTTACAGAAAATGTATAGTGTTCTGCCATAGGACACTCCTTTTTTCAATCATGAATTATCAGTTATCATTCATAATATTCCTATCAGCATAGATTAGAAGCGTTGACCAATATGAAAAGAGGTGTGGTGTAGATGATAATTACATTCATTAGAAGAGGGATAAAGAAGTGTGCACGCGAAATCAAAAGAATGAATTTACGTTAACTGGATTGACCGACATCAATGGGTTTTGGTATCTACAAATTTGGCGGGTAAATTATTGGAATTATTTAATGTCGAATTATAAAATTTAAAAAGGCAAAAAGTTTGCATAATTTTATCCATCTGTTTGAATTTTTTGTATTTCATCAATACTATAAGCTTGTACCCTTTGTATAATCTGTCCATATTTTCTATCTAATATTTGTTCTTTTCAGAAAAATGTTCAACATATTGTCTTTCTTCATGTTCTTCTTCCACGTTATTATTGGGTTTATAAGTTGTATAAATAGGATTTTGGATGGTGTACGGATCGGTCTGGTATCACTAGCCAGGATAGATAAGTGTATGCTTCCAAGAGGTTATGAGAAGCTTGACAAAGGTAAATTTAGTATAATACTATTTTAAGTGGTAAGTGGCTGTATAATTTAAACTTATATTCCTTTCTCCCTTACGTTAAAACGTATCTATTTAAAACTGTTAAATGAGCTAATGATTACGACATATCTCAATGAAATAAATTTAGAAATAGAATAAAAAAAAAAAACAATACATTGAGGTAACCCGAACGTGGCTTCTTCTGACACAAACAGAAACGGGTTGAATGTCAATGTCCCGCCCATTCGGATGGCAAATGATATATAAAACCTGTAATTATTATAAAATAAATGAACTAAAAAAGCCCTAAATTTTCAAATTGTCGTAGCCCGTTTTGCTCGGTGGAGACCAAGATTTGCATCTTGCATATTTTGACTTAAGACGTGTTTCCGATGGAGAACGTCTGTGATAAAGTTGTCACATGTTTAGACGTGTATAATAACATAGAAATTTAATGTGGCGACGTGGTAATTAACATTATCGTCCTTTACTACAGACAAAATAGCTGGTCTGAAAGGTACACCATCTACTTGCCTCTATACATCATGTACCGTGTTACAACCCTAGATAAAGCCGACGAGGAAAGGCATTACATCGACCACCGAAAGCTATATTTTTATGTAGCCTAGGTGGTCGAGTGGTCTAGGGCGCTGGACATGGTGCAGGTGGTGTTGCCATGATGTCACAGAAGCAAGAGAACAAAAATTTGCAAACAAGATGATCAAAGGAAGTGATTTCTGGTCGGTTTAAAAATTCATCATTTAATAAATTAAGTTTTTGGTCAAATTAATTTTTATGTTCATGATCATGTTCACATTGCATGTTGTACATCAAAAATACTAGAACTTTCGACCATTATTCAAATATCTTAAATGGAATTCAAACGTTTTTTGAATGTTTCAGATGTATTTTATGATTACTAGAAAATGTTCAACACTAACATAAGCCTGGTATAAATTAATGGTGTTAGTCGAATTAAGTTAATAACGCAATGAACTATTTTTTTTTATATTGTATATGAAGCAACTTAATAAATTTTAAAAATGACACCTTTGTTTTGTAAAACCAAGAATTTAATATTATAGAACTTCCATAGCAATCCTCGGTAACCTTTTAATGCAGTAAACAGTCAGGATTCTACTTCGTAAAAATTATCTCCCCATTACGCCACCCAATCTTTTTAATCGTAAAAATGGAAGCCATTGTAGTGATGACGCGCTGTCAATTCAGCTCTTGAAACCCGATCAGTTTATCCACATAGCATCATTACGATCCTTATATGCCAGTTGTATCTTAAAAGACAAATGTATCTACTTTCTATTGGGCATCATTTAATGTACTTTTATACATTTGGTTAACTTAAAACTATTGTCTGATCGGTTGTCAGGGGGAATTTTCGAAAGTTCTAAAAATATTTAAGAAAATTCTAATTAAATATTTCGTGGGAGGGCAGACTAAATATTTTTAGAGGTTGAGGAATAATTACCCTAGAAAACACACACAAAAGATGAAGTTTTTTTGAAGTTGTGCATTTTTTAATATCAACTTGTAAAGTCTGTCGTCAAGTACTTTTAGTAAAAATTTATAATTCGAACACACCTAATCTGTTGTGTTATGACTTATTACAAAGATGTTTCACTTGACCCATATATTTCATTTCTTAGTACTGTAGGTTTTTAATGTTATTATATCAACCTAAAGCCTAAATATATAAAAAAAAATAATAGAATCTGAAGCGAGATGATGTATCAAATATTTTCTTTTATACGTTTTCAAGACAGAATAGTCAACTCAAGCACGCCTGAACATAAAAAGGTGTACTCGACTTTCTCTTTTCGATGAAATTATTGCCAATTTTGGGGATTTTTTCCAAAAAAAACTGTGGCCGGGGCAGAGATGCAAATTAATGTTTTAAAAAGATCAATCTTTAATCTTTCTTTGCAATTTTTTTCGGCGGAATATATACTTATGCACAAAAAAGATCCACATGAATTTGCACCTACCCCAATCGACGGTTTTGTAAAAATTTGTCTATAATTTAAAAGTTTACAAATATCTCGAAGCTCTATACCATAATTTTAGTAAAAACAAATATATAAGATGCATAAAATCCTAAATTATGCACATTCATTAAACTTTTAAAGCTCATAGAAACAGATGTAAACAATTCAAATTTACCAACTTGGCCTTTTTTACTTTCTCTAACAAAGAGTCCATTTCTTTTGTATCCCTTTTAGAAAATATATACATTTGTACGTCTCAACATGTGACAATTTTACGACAGACATTCTCCATCGGATAACCGGAAGTTGTATAGGGCTAACAACATAAAAAATATATAATTCCTCTCAAATTTAGTCCAACAATGTTAGATCTGTAATTTGCGTTCACAAGTTTTTGTACTTCCCTCAGCTGGATTTGAACCATAGCTTCTGTGACATCGTGGCAACTCCTCCTGCACTGTGTCCAGCGCCCTAGACCACTCTTCCAACTAGGCTATATAAATATATAGCTTTCGTTAACTTAGTCGAGTAATTCCTTTCCTCGTCAGCTTTATATAGGTTTGTAACGCAGTACATGATGTATAATGGCAAGTAGGATGGTATATCTTTCAGATCAGGTATGTTTGCCTGTCGTAAAGGATGATAATGTAATTACCATGCCGTCACATCAAATTATAATTTTATTTTTATTATAATATATAAACGTCTAAACATGTGACAACTTTATGACAGACATCGGACAACCCGTAGTTATACAGGGCTAACACCATAATATATATATGTATGCCAAATTATAATAAGAATAGATATATAATTGATATAAGGTTAAACACTTTCAGTGATTTTGTTGGTTGTTGTTACGTCAGTAAAAAAGATAGAACTATTGTATGTAGCCATGAAACCAATGAAGTTTTTTTAAGAAGTTAAGTTAGGTGAATTAAGTTTTGTTAAAAAAAATACATGGCAAACAAGAAGCAGCTTAATAAGGTTTTATTAAGCTCAGTACAGGTGTGTTTTAATGTAAAAGAAAATCTTTTTTCTTACCAAGACTCAAACTTTAGAATTAGATAATTTGACTATCTCGATTTGATAAATCTGATAATCATGCAAGGATGTAAAAATTTGTAAACATATCTTTACTTTATTGTGGCTGTGGTCTTTTCCGTTAAAAATATAATCATATAAACAGTTAAAATTAAAAAAAGTAGAGGTTATTTGGTCAAGTATGGTTCACACTGGTCGAATATTAGTCAGACTTTGGTCGCGTATGGTTCAGACTGAAAAAGTAGGTCGAGAATAGCTTACGACTGTTTCAGACTTGTCGAGTAATAGTTCAGATCTTTTTTAATGGCAAAAATAAGGGTCAAATACTTATCAGTACAGTCGAGTATAGTTAAGATTGAGGTCGAGTAATATCGAGTAAAATTCAGACCAATTCAGACTGGTCGAGTAAAAATCAATACAGTCGAGTACAGATATAGGTCATTTCAGACTTTTACTGTTTATAGTGGTATTATTCCTAACTGGTTTTTATTAAATGACTCGTTATCTGACATGCTAGTAGAAGGTAACGATTGAAAATCTAGTAATAAATAAATTGGTATTGGACTGATAGATTCTGCAAAAACTTAAAGCGTTAAGACCGTAAAATACATAGAATAACAAACATTTTTCTCTCAGGCTATTCGACTTATATTGGTATGTTAATGGTAGAGGTTCATCACAGAAATCCAGTAGCGTCAGTTTTTTGTAACGAATTACTAGTTACCAGCAGAGAAAGGGGTTGTGCTAACGTGTTACTAACACCTGTCAATTACACACAAGGGAATGTCGAAACAATCAGTCAAAAACATGGACGGATTAGCCGTAAATGGGCTAAGCTATACACACTTATCAACAATCCATCGGTCAGACGTAATTATGAGGAACAGAAATCTGGATGTTCAATTGAACAAGTTGAAATCGCCATATAGTTGGACGATCCTGTTAACTATAGGAAAGTAATTGCTGTATAATTCAAAATTGGCGTTATTTCGAGGATTATTTATTAGTTTTTAAAAAGATACTCATAATATCTTAGAAGCTTGAAGAGATGCAGTAACAATTTGAATGGTTAAACGTGGTATTTATCAGTTAGTATGTTGCACATATCATTACACAGCTCCGGAGAAATATCTATAAGGTTCATATAAAAATAAGGAGATGTGGTATGATTGCCAATGAGACAACTATCCACCAAATTTCAAATGAAGTGGTTGTAAGCAATTATAGACAACCGTGGGGCAAGTCGGCTAGTCCGCTGGCTCTGAATAGATTGATGTTTCTGTAATTTTTTTTATGTATGTATATAATGTGTTCTTGCCTGTCATGTCCAGATAGTTTTGAGGATCTAATATACATAAATATTCGCCAATTTCTAGTCTGAAACAAAACTTACTAATTTTTTTCTGCCTTGATTTTCTGTTCAAATAAATAGTCTGGGCATTGCACACGCACGTGTATTCCTGCAAAGTTTATGACATTACTATACGAAATCTACTTCGAGAACATCTGCCTATATCGGAATGTAGGTTGGCATGATTCCATTTTAACAGGTAAATTACTCCGAACTTCTATATACAAGAAAATAAACTTCCGTTTACTGCAACTATGATTTTATCCGATATTATTTATTATAGTTTTTCAGTACTTATGTTTTGGTTGTCTATTATGCCGATATCATCAAATTGAAGTTTTTTTCAATCAAATTATTAACTCTGCCAAATGTACATGTGCAGGAATTTGGCCAGGAATCTATTAATTGTTTTGGCTTTAATAATATCTTAATAGTTTTGTCATGTTGAAAATGCTGATTGCAACTCTTTAAAGTCTCTTTTTTATTTATTCAACGCAAATGTGAATGGCGATACAAAGGCAGTAATAAAAAAAACACAATTCAAAGAAAATCAGATAACACCAAGTCCAAATAAGACTCGCAGCGATTTAGAGTTTGACGCATTGTATAAACATTTGACTTCTGTTGAAGACAATATGTTAACCTCTAGATATCTGTTAGTTCCTGTATCGTTAGTTTGCTGTCTGATTCACGACAGCCATATATTCTTTAATTCATGTATTGCTTTATAGACGCAATTTTAAGATCATCTGGATTTAATCTCCAGACATCCTCCTATATTTTAATGGCAAATCTATCACTCATTTATTTTATTGATCACGAACGTGTATATTTTTTTATATAACATTTTAAAATTGTCTTATACAGCCAAATCTTTTAGACCAAAAAGAGAAAATTGGTGATGTGAAATTTCTGTAATACTTTTCATTCATATTTATTACAGGCATTATATTTCTTTTTAGCAATGTGCCTAACTAGTAACTAGTATATGTAAATTTGCAATAAGTATGAATGAAAGAGTTGTGGGTATACGTTAATGAAACAGCAATATAACAACACAAACAAAATAAAAGACATAATTATATGGGTAGCAATATGGTCTGCAAAATATAGAAGGTGGATATACCATATATGTTTATACTTTTAATCGGCCTAAGTCTAGACAAGTTGTAAATAAGCCTAACCGAGACTATCAAAGATATGCAATCAACGCAAAACCCATAAAAACAAATAAACAAAAGCATATACATGTAACTAAAAACCTCTGTAAAGAGGTATCTGACATGGACAGACTATTATCACTTCGGTATTGACTCGGTTAGTGATAGTAAACGCCTTCACCACTTTGTTTTTCTTTTAAAGTTTCCACCGGTGGAATATTCAATAATAACAAAGGGTTCATGGAAGAATGTACAATCCATATCATTTAAGAAAAGACACAAAGTACTATAATACCAGTATCACGGACAACAGAGAGGTAAGTAAATACTAAAAACAAAATAAATGATTAGAGTTCAGGTTTCAGTTTTGGTTTCGGAATGTTGAATTGCCAATACTGTCTGAAATCCGCAGTGTGATGATTCTCGTTGTTTTCAATGGTAGAATTTCTCATCAATTGTTGTTTTTACATGTGCATCGATTTCTGATTTGAATACAATTTGGATATTTATCAAAACAAAGGCATACATTTATTTTCATTTACATAAAATAAATACTAGTTAAATATGTTAATATTGGATAGTATCTTGCGTTCTATTTTTCAATTAGTTTCGTCTGTAAGTTCCACATTTAGTTTTTACTAATTGTGTAATTTGGATGTCGTAATACAGTTGGGTCATCAATTTTAACTGGTTAACTGGATAATATGCATTTTAACTTTTTTGAGTGTTTCTGATTATGGTTGTTCTAACAATGTGTGTCATTGTAAAAAATATCACTATTGCATTTACATTCATCACACATATATCTGTCGGTACTGAAGGCAAAATACTTTGTAATTATGTGTTACATTATATTACATTTCGTTTTAATATATGTTGTTTGGTAGCATTAAACAACAGAAAGAGACAAAAATATCAGATTTTTTTACAATTTGAATTTCATACTTCATACGCAGCATTTACAATTTTAATGAAGCAACTGTTTGCATAACTGTTTTTATTGTGGGCGTGCATGTTCATATTGATATATCTTTATTATGTCTTTACTATAATCATTATTTTGTAAATTTTAAAAGTCATTGTAGTTTGTATAAAATGAATGTAATTTTTAGTCCTTTCCGAAATACAAGTAAGATTTATATATTTGTCTGAATCTAGATTTCTGTAGAAAATATGTTATATTTGTTAATGATGCAAGAATAAAGTGCACTTTATTTTACTAAATGTTATTTTTGTTTTTATTGTTTGTTTGATTTAGTTGTTTGCTAATAGTTTTGTTTTACTTTGATTTTTTTAAATGCATCTATTACTGTTGTTGTTATATATAATTTCTAATCCAAGAATTCAAATATTGAAATATATTTAACGTGTGACTGAACAACACATGAATTCACAAACGCGAGTAGTGCATCAGTGTGTGTGTGTGTAAATTGGCCCGAGTTATTTCGTAGTGAATTTTTTTTTAAGACAATAAATTAAAATTAAAAAACAAATCGTACCTGCTATATCTCAAAAAGATTTTTACAGTGTAGTGTACTACTTTTGGGACAAATAATTTCAAAATTAAAAAAGTCTACCAGCTCTTACTCAAGATATGAAGAATGCTTTGTAAAGGGGTCTATAATTCAGTTTAACAGCTTCAGACATACTAATTTTTTTACTTTTTTAAACTGGACCAAATCACTACTTTACATAAAAATTTCTCATCCAAATTTTTTTAACATGTAATGTCATGCCCTTCTTAAAAATTTATGCATAAAATATAAACAAATAAATTTAGAAAGTGTATGAAAAAAATTTGCAAGTTATACAGTGGGGACTATATTTGTCAAGGACGATAACTGTGTCTTTGGACCTACTGACGAAGCGGGAATAATACAAAAGTAACTCTTCTTATGAATAATATAACAATCAAAAGTTGTATACATCAGTAACCAAACTTATAAAAATGATTTTCAAAGCCACAATCGAATATTATTATATATAATATATTTAAACAAACAAAAAAACAAAAAACAGCATAAAATGTGGTACGAAAGATGCGCGTTTCGTCGAGAAAAAAATTATCAGTGGCGCTCGAATCAAATCAGTAGCTGATTTGAAAGATACTTGCAAATGCATATGTTTTTTTTTTATAATTGAAATAAATGCATTAGAAGCTTGTTATACTGTTATTCAAAAATAAATCCATTCCAGGGAACAATTTCCCAAAATCGATTTTTCACGACCAAGAACGCTTTTTTCCCAAGAATATTCTATATATATATAATATTGTGTTTGTGTGAATATAACGTTATATCTGTTCATGTTAAAAAAGAAAAGGGAATATTTTTTTTTTATAAGAATGATTATCTATTAAAGGATTTTACTCTTTTGTTTAAAGAATTTTAAGCACTGGTCGTCTCCACTTTTCTACATGAATGTGTCGTCTTCTCGATGTTTTCGCATTTAAAGTTTAAACAGAATAAGATCAGTTTGAATTTGACTAGTGACTGTAAAAGTGTTAATCTTTGCTGCATAAAAATCTATTGTCTTGATATTTTGATTCCATATCTCTATGGACTAGTTGCCCAGATATAAGGAGAATAGACCAGTTCTAAGGACGCATTCAGCAAAAGAAACGAAAATAAAGTTCATCGGAAGATACCAAGACCTTGTTGATAAATATTCCGTATCAACATCACAAATAATACACGATGGCCTTGAATTATAGATTCTAGGTACTGGCGTTGTTTATCATCTTAATTACGTGCTATAGTGTTCTTTTTTATGTCTTTGTAAATTATTTACTTAACTGTATATAAAAATAAGGAGATGTGGTATGATTGCCAATGAGACAATTATCCACCAAAGTATAAATGAAGTGGATGTAAGCAATTATAGGCAACCGTACGGCCTTCAATCCATTTTTGGTAATATCCTCTTGGCGTGGTTCGGTACTTATACATCCCGCCAATGTGTTGTTGTGCGATCGTCATTTTTTGTGTTCTTGTCTTTCATTTTTGCTTATGTGCTTTGTCTATATGCCATTTTGTTTTTCTTTGTTGACATATTAGTTTGTTTTTATGACTAGTAACGTTCTCGCGAATTAAGTGCAAAACTTTGAAGAGTTCGATTTTTTAGTGTTTGCAGGGGAGGTAATTATTGCAACTACATTTTCCACTAACGCATGAGATAATTATCACTGTTTTTTGGTCCCAAGTAAATGTCTTGGATATTTGAATTCCTGGATTAGTTATTCTTTTTATTACGTTAACTTTTAATGCAAAAAAAATAAGAAAGAAAATGCTAGGAACTATATCTTTTTCTACGGGCTCTCACTTCGTTTTGATGCAACGTCATTGAAAACTTGTTGACAAAACCTATTGCTGTATATCGTCAGAGGAGTGAAATTAGAGAATTTCAAGGAAATCATTGTATTTAATTGCAACCAATGTTATATTTGTTTTAGTATGCATTTATTCTACATCTATGAATTTTGTTTTAAAATATTGCAAGTAAATCATTGTATTTAATTGCAACCAATGTAATATTTGTTTTAGTATGCATTTTACATCTATGAAATTTCTTTATAATATTGCTTTTTCATGAATAAAGACAACTGTCGAATAAGACTTTTTAATGCTTTTGCCACTTTAAATTTTTTTACTCATAATCATGTTTTAATTAAATTGAAAATTAAAAAAAAAAATATTTATACAATTTGTGTGATCGAAGCTTTTCAGAATTTACCTTTACAATGAATTATTAAAACCAAACAGAAGAAAGCCAAGGATATATAAATACATGAATACGTGAGTAGATATATATCAAAAAGAATGGATAGTCAAATTCAGCTAAGGTAACCATTGTCTGAGGGTGTTGGAATCTTAGTTTTATAACTATTTCTAAATTAATCAACGGAACATATCCTATAAATCATGTCAATTTAGAAGCACTGAAAACTGAGTTGACGATTGCTTTTGGAAAATAATAGTCAACCAGCAGCGAATTGACCCATTGAAATATGAAAATATTTTACAATAGATTTGTTTTACGGATATTCAATTTATAGAACAAAAAATGGACATCTTTTTTTACCAGCATATACACCGATACAATATTTTTATTTGCCTTTATTGGAAAATTGCAACAGTTGGAATATCGATAAAAATGGTAAGCCAAGTTAAAACATCAAAGATACCAAGCTAATAATTTGATCAGACGTGCGTTTCTTTTACATAAAGTCATCAGTGGCGCTCGTATCAAAACAGTTGGATTGCCAAACCAAATACTAACTTAAAGAGCATTAAAAATAGGAAATTAAAAAAAATGGCATAAATACGGTTAAAGCAATCTTTCTGGAAGTGATGACTTATCAATTCGAATAATTATTAATTTATAATCATTAGATTAACACAAAATAAATATTTCAATTATTTTTCATGTCACACAAAAGTTCTGAGTACTATGAGAGGGGTACCCTCGGGAACGAAACGTCCACTAGCAGTAGCATTGACCCTGTGGTTGTAAAAGCTTATAACATATACCAGGCTTATAATTTGGTACACCAGACAAGCATTTCGCCTACATAATGATAAGACTCACCAGTGTAATCCGATTCAAAACAATAGACATGCAAAATTAAATACAAAATAAAACAGCATTAAAACCAGTAAACTCGGGGAAGAAAAACCTTCGAATAATTCAACATATCATAACATTTTATAAACAATACATTTACAGAATATTGACATATCAATAATATTTTATGTCAGCACATCTGACTACTGGGCTGGTGATACCCTCGAGCACAAAACAACCACCAGCAGTGCATTGACGCAGTGGATGTAAAGACTCATTAAAGATACCAGGCTTATAACAGTCTATGTAATCAGATCGTTTCTATTGCTTACCATTCCGGTTCAACTGACATAACCCTGGTTTCTGGTGGGGTTTGTGTTCAGTCTTTAGTTTTCTATGTTGTGTTTTGTGTACTGTTGTTTGTCTTATTGTTATTTTTTGTCCATGACATTGTCAGTTTGTTTTCGACTTGGGTATCTTTCAACTTCCTTTTACATTGCATTCTGGTGAAGAGTGATAATGTAAAAGAGAATGACAGGAAATTGAAGAAACAGTTAGATCAATTGATTGCAACAACCGAAGTTTGAATTCTTTATTTCATAATCTATAACATTGTTACACAGAATATGTATGAATAACATAGTAAAAATCTAAAATTGATGTGTGAAACATTTGTTTTGTTTTTTTTTTGGGGGGGGGGGGGAGGGGGGGCTAAGATGAAATTTGAAAAAAAGGCAGGACAGGAGTTTTGAGCAAAAAAATAAGCAGGATAAGCAACTTGGCAAAAAAAAGGCAGGATGACAATTTAAGTTAAAAAAAGTCAGGATAAACTAATAAAAAAAGGCAGGACAGAGATTACAACTTTTCATCCTAGTCCTCCCCCCCCCCCCCCCCCTCATCATAAAGATCAAATATGGTAGCTCCCTTATTCAAAAAAGAAGAAAATTATCTTAAGGTGCATCTTTTAAATCACCTTGAAAATATTTTACTTTTGAATGTCCCTTACTAGCTCTACTAGTGCACTACACTGTCAATAACTTTTCTATGTGAGATGCTGGATAAAAATATCAAACGGCACAAATTTTACTGCAAAAGATTCCTGACCCTCAGTGACGGTCGAGACCTATATATGATTCCAAAACCTAAAATTAACGTTGAAAAGTGATGTAACCGAAAATATCAAAAGTAAATTTAACCAAAACAATATTATTAACATTTAAGCGGCAAAATATAGTTCACTTCTACAACTCAGGTATTTAAAGTCAATTCAAAAGTTCTTTGTTTGTAATCACGGTTTTGATTGAACAAATCATATATTCTGTTGGTATAAATTCAACAGTTTACCGGTTCGTAACTAGGGCCAGCGCAATTTTGAATTCTAGAATGTATTGATATGTGTTTTATTCCAATAGAAAACGAAATAATGAAAAAAAAACTCATCAACGATACAAGGCTTATAATTTTGTACGCCAAACGCGCGTTTCGTTTACAGAATACTCATCAATGACGCTTGAATCAAAAGACGTTTAAAGTCTAAATCAGGAAAGAAGTTGAAGAGCATTGAGGACCCAAAAATTCCAAAAGAAATGTCCCACCTAAGCACTCGCAGTGAGTCGGAAGGCAAACACTGAGAAAAACCTAAGCCTATGACAGAATTTTGAGTATTTTTCTAATTCGCACATCGGCCAGATTGACTTATTTTGATGACAGCAATTACATTAGGATTATACATGCCCCCCCCCCCCCCCCCCCCCCCAAAAAAAAATGCAACAATATCAATTCTTGAAATACACCTGTGACGTAAATCTTTTGTTCAACTCTCCATTATTTTTCAGGAATGGAGAGTTATTTTCTATTGTTCATCTTCATTCAATCGGACGTTTTGCTCTTTGGATATTTCCATGGTCACTCTCATAAAAAGTGTTCACCCATGGAAATAATTCTAAAAGACGTAATGCGATATTGAATGAAGATGAACACTTACTAAAACGGCTGATACTGGAGTTTTTTTAATTGGGATCGTAGTAATACAATGAACACCAAATATCTCATTATTAAGGTTCATCTGGACACTTTGGCTAAAATGGCTGAGTTTTCACCTCAAAATTTACTCTGAGCACAGACTTACATCTACATCTGGAAAAGTTTTAAGAAATAGCATGCCCTAGATAAATAAAATTCAAATGCATTTTATGTTTAAGAAAATTCAACTCGTAGATTAGACCGTTGGTTTTTCTGTTTGAATTGTTTTACACTAGTCATTTTGGGGCCCTTTATAGCTTGCTGTTCATTGTGAGCCAAGGCTCCGTGTTGAAGGGCGTACTTTGACCTATAATTATTTACTTTTAACGCATTGTGACTTGGATGGAGTTGTCTCATTGGCACTCATACCACATCTTCTTATTTCTACTTAACGTACAGCTTTAATTTGCGAGTCGTAATTCCATCGTATAATATAGTATCGTATCGTAAAATTCCATAATATTATCCACAATTTGTTTTTCGATGAAAATCTTGGCTGAATTTCTGACACGGATAGTATCCAAGCGGGTAAAACGAATATTTTCCATTGAGTGCCATTCCTCTTCTGTGCATCTACAAAATATCAAATGTGTTAACTCAGCTGAATTCTTTTTTAATATTAAATACATTAACATTATTTAATAAGGAAAATTAGCGAAAAACGTATTTCGCTCACAGATTTACTTTTAATTTTACCGTTTAAGATATCATTTGCTTGAAATCTAAAGTATTGTATTTTGATTTTGTACAGCAAACACGGTTTGTTCAATTTAATATATATTCATTAAAAAAAGAAATATTACTCAGATAGTTTCTACAATAATATTGTGGTCAAATAGAATAAATAGTTCAAGAAACTGAAATGGTCAAAGTGGCTTATTCGGTATACTATTTATATTAAATTTGGATGAACTTTTTTCAACATTTTTTTACAGTAATTATTCTACTGTTCATAAATACCTCGTTAAATGAGTAGATGGTTAGCTTGATATTAAATTTTGCCTGTGGATTATTTGGTACACCTCGGGGAAAACAAAAAGAAAACCATTACAAAATGGAATAAATTCTTTAAAATGTTATAATCTAATTTAAAGTGTAAGTTAGCGAAAGTCCAAATAACTGTCCTTTCCTGGGAAATAATGGGCGTCGGCCATACGGGCCTCCGCACCATTATTTCCTAGGAATGGACAGCTATTTGGACTTTCTCTATAACTTACATCGAACCACAAATTTGTCCGCATATAGTAGAATTTTACTCGTTACGCCATCTGTAAGTGTACACATGAATGTTGTTTACTGTGAAAATTTTGGATCTTTTCTTTTTCAAAAACAGGAGCAATACTGTATTATTATTGCTTTATAAAAGAACTAAACTTCGCGCCAAATTCAGATACAAATATACATTGCATTAGGTCATGTTTTTCTCTGACTGTTTATGACGTCTTTACACTAAATCCATTGGATGTTGGATGTGTACTGATTGATATTTTAATCTTTGATGCATGATTTTTTTTTAGTTGTTATTGGCTTTGAACTAGCTGTCAGTGACTGCGAGTACTCTCAGATCTGTATTTAGTGTCTTTTTGTTGTGGGGATGTATAAGTACCCTGCCACGTCCACTCTGTGTTGTTGTTAGATGTATTTCTATTTGTATCCATCTGATGAGTCATGCCTTTTTCAACTAATTTTAATAGTTTGTTTCTTATGTTGTACTGTTACACCACCGTCCCAGGTTGGGGGAGGGGGTGGCGCCTTCAAACTAGATTAACCCCGCCACATTGCCTGTCCCAAGTCAGGAGCCTGTAATTCAGTGGTTGTCGTTTGTTTCTGTGAATCATATTTGTTTTTCGTTCATTATTTTGTACATAAATTGGGCCGTTAGTTTTCTCGTTTGAATTGTTTTACATTTGTCATTTCGGGGCCTTTTGTAGCTGACTATGCGGTATGGGTTTTGCTCATTGTTGAAGGCCGTACGGAGATCTATAGTTGTTAATTTCTGTGTCATTTGGTCTTTTGTGGAGAGTTGTCTTATTGGCA